TGGAACTAGGAGATCCTCGTGGTAATTCAAACCCCGTTTACAACACGTTTTGATCAATAATGAAATGCGGTTTGTATCTTTTTGACCTGCCCGCCCGCACCCACGATATTTTAAAAATGTCTGTCCTGCACCCGCGGGTCACGGGTCGCCCCGCGCATCACTAGTATGTATGTATGTAAGTATGTGTTTGTGTGTTTCTCTAACCAATTCAAAAAGTTTTAGGAAATTGAAAATAATTGCTAATTTTGATAATTTCTTAACGGACTCTATTTTTCTTGCATTTATGGTTTTTGCTTTATTTACGACAGTGTACTTCAAAACACATCATGGAATGTCTATAGTGTCTTACGTCAGGTTTAGACTGTAGCCACCACAGTACACTGCAGGTAGCTCTGCATGTATATTCATTAAGGCATATTGTCACGCCCAGCTCGTCCGATCCTCGTGTGTGCCACGCCCCCCTCGTTACCTCGTGTTACTTTCCGATTGTAATCACCTGTTACCTGTTATGTTCAACCTGTTCTGTGTATTTAGTCCGCGTCTGAGTCAGTATTCCCCAGATCTGTCATTAACATGAGTTTGCCGTGTGCTCCCCTTCGTCCTGTCTGCTCCGAATGAAACCCCGTTTTTTAGTATTCACGGCTCTCTCGCCTGATTCCCTGTTCGCCCGACACGGACCCTGACACATATTGTTTAAACCCAGTGTTTAAATTGTGTCATAGGTCCAGTTTTTCCACAACTGTCCAAATTTTCGCTCAGGAAAATCTTTTATTATTACTATTGTTATCACCAATCATGCCTGAAATACATGCCATGTTATTCATTGCCAGGAGTCTGTTGTGTTCACGTGGCAAATGCTATATTAATCATAATAAAGACAATTAAGATAATGAAGTCTTCTGTTTGCAATGTTTGTCCCATTGTCACTGTATGGAACTGTAAAAATTATTTGGATACCCTGGTGTACTGGAGACAGTGAAAGTATTTTTCTTATATTAAAATAAAATGAAGTAATACAATTGTAAACTGTATCACTAATATAATTTATTTTCTGATTCCAAATGCACTGTTTATCTAAAAACGACACCTCGCTCTGTGCACCCTGCTTTACTCCTACTCCTGTCCCATGAGGCTGAGCTGATGGTGAACAATAATGGTGCCCAGGGGGGACGGCTGTGTGCCATATTCTATATACAGTATATCGGATTCAGGTGATCAAAGCACTAGTCCAGCGGTACATCGAAGCAGCGCAGCAGGAGTTTGAGGAGAGCAAGCACAAAGGTAACTATAACCCCAATTCCAAAAAAGTTAGGACGTTGTGCAAATTGTAAATAAAAACAGAATGCAATGATGTGGAAATCTCAAACCTATATTTTATTCATAACAAAACATAGAAAACACATCAAATGTTTAATCTGAGAAAATGTATCATTTTAAGGAAAAGATAAGGTAATTTTGAATGTCATGGCAGCAACACGTCTCAAAAAAGTTGGGACAAGGCCATGTTTACCACTGGGTGGCATCCACTCTTCTTTTAACAACAGTTCAACAGTAAACGTCTGGGGACTGAGGAGATCAGTTGCCCAAGTTTTGGGAGAGGAATGTTGTCCCATTCTTGTCAGATACAGGATTCTAGTTGCTCAACTGTCCTAGGTCTTCTGTGTCGTAATTTTAGTTTTATGATGCACCAAATGTTCTCAGTGAGTGAAAGATCTGGACCACTGGCAGGCTAGTTCAGTACCCGGACCCTTCTTCTATGAATCCATTATGTTGTAATTGATGCAGTGTGTGGTTTGGCATTGTCATGTTGGAAAATGGAAGGTCTTCCCTGAAAGAGATGTAGTCTGGATGGCAGCATAGGTTTCTCTAGAACCTGGATATACCTTTCAGCATTGATGGTGCCTTTCCAGATATGCAAGCTGTCCATGCCATATGTACTAATGCACCCCCATACATCAGAGATGCTGGGTTTTGAACTGAGCGCCGATAACACGCTGGGTGGTCCTTCTCCTCTTTAGTCTGGATGATACGGCATCCCTGGTTTCCAAAAAGAATTTCAAATTTAGATTCGTCTGACCACAGAAGAGTTTTCCACTTAGCCACAGTCCATTTTAAATGAGCTTTGGCCCAGAGAAGACGTCAGCGCTTCTGGATCATGTTCAAATACAACAACTTCTTTGAATGATAGAGTTGTAACTGGCATCTTTGGATGGCACGGTGAATTGTGTTCACTGATAACGTTTTCTGGAAATATTCCTGAGCCCATTTAGTGATTTCCATTGCAGAATCATGCCTATTTGTGAGGCAGTGCTGCCTAAGGGCCTGAAGATCATGGGCATCCAGAATACTTGTCCCTTACACACACAGATTTCTCCAGATTCTCTGAATCTTCTGATTATATTATGTACTGTAGATGATGATATTTTCAACCTCTTTGTAATTTTACACAGAGGAACTTTTTCCCTGAAATTGCTCCACTATTTGTCGATGCAGTACTAGGGGGATTGGCGATCCTCTGTCCACCTTTACTTCTGAAAGACACTGCAACTATAAGACGCTCTTTTTATACCCAATCATGTTACTGACCTGTTGCCAATTGACCTAATTATTTGCAAATTGTTCCTCCAGCTTTTGAGTTTTTATACCACTAACTTTTCCAGCCTCCTATTGTCCCCATCCCAACTTTTTTCAGACGTGTTGCTGTCATGAAATTCAAAATGAGCCAACATTTTTCACTAAAAAGCAAAATGTCTCACTTTAAACCAGTGGTTCTCAATCCTGCTCCTGGCGCCCCACCTGCCATAATGTTTTCGTTTGAACCTTACCTTAATCAGTCTTATATGGACGTCCTTAATAGGCTAATTAAAGCCGGTTTCAGACCGAACGCCGCATACACTACGCTACGTGCCGCGCGCCGCTCACGGAGCTCGTGCGAGCACTGTGGTCAAAGATGAACTTTGTTGAACTTTGACCGCTGCGCGCTGTGACGCATTGTCTCGCGATCAATAGAAACAAGGCACCGAACGAAATGGAGGAAAAACTTATATTGTCCGTGTTTGAGTTCCCAGAGCTATATCACACAAGCGTAGAATCTTTTTGAATTCGAAATATACATCGTCGCTACTGACCGCGAGCCAAAATGACAGGAGAGAGTTTTGAAAACCACGCCTACTCTTCGCGCAGAAGCCTCGCGGCGAGCACAGCGCATGCCGCGTTCGGTCTGTAACCAGCTTTAGCCTATTAAGGACCATATAAGTCTGATTAAGGTAGGGCTGGAATGAAAACATTCTGGCATGTGGGGTGCCAGGAACAGGACTGAGAACCACTTCACATTTCACATATTTTATATGTCCGGTTGTGAATAAAATATCAGTTTATGAGATTTCTATATCATTGCATTCTGTTGTTATTTACAATTTACCCTACGTCCCAAGTTTTTTGGAATTGGGGTTGTATCTGTGCTCTCATAGACAGGAAGACACTGAACAAGCTGGTCAGGAGCGCTGGCTCTTCCCTCGGCTGCTCTTTGGACTCCACCTTCAGGAGGTGGCTGAGAGGAGGATGCTGGCCAAATTTATATCCATTATGGTCAGTCCCTCTCACCCCCTCCATGACACAGTGAGGACATTACGAAGCTCCTTCAGCAACAGACTACTGCATCCAACATGCAAGAAAGAACACTTCCACAGATCCTTCATTCCATCTGCTATCAGACTTTATAATACTTCAGTCACCTAAAGTTCATAAATTATGTCACTATTCTGTATATTGTGCAATACAACTATATTTACATCACTCGGTGCTGTATGTATGTGTATTTTGGGTCTGTGCAATCTGTGTAATTGGGTGTACTAAATTTAATTAAGTTATTTATTGTATTTGTAACAGTATTTTTCTTCTATTGCTTTTTATTTACTGGCTGTTGCAATAAGTAAATTTCCCCAGTGTGGGATCAATAAAGTGTTATCTTGTCTTATGCTGAAAAGTAAAAATATACGTTTTGATCAGTGGGTTTTGCTTGATTTGTGTTTGCATTCCCATGTGATGGATGTGGGCAGTTGGATAATAGAGCTGAGTACAGCTGTGAGGAGACTGCATTCAATGGGGGGTCCCGGACTACAGCTGCTGACAGTGGGTACGACTTGATGCTGATGAGGTATGTCAGCAACTTCCAGGGTTTTGACAACACAATAGAGAATTGGGCCAGCTGGTCACATTACAGGTCCTGAAATTGTGGCAGCGGAGGGAGCCAGGGAGGGCAAGGGGGAGACTCAGGAGGGGAGGACATGCTGAAAAGACACGAGATCCCATCTCCAGCCCACAGTGAAAGCTCTGTCAACATGGGACCTGGCTCCCGGCGGGGGAGGGTGATTCACACCCACCTTTGTGAGATAAACAGGACATAACAATCCCCTAGTTTCGTTTAGAATGATCTGATGTGTTAGAACACAGTCCAGAAAGCTACCCCACTTAGAGAAATAGAAACCTATACAATGTCAGATGTTCAATACTAATATGTACTGCACCTATCAAAATGAGGGCCATAGTTTGCAATACAACTTTAGCGCGCTGTTGAATTTATCTGCCTTAAAGCCTCCTACCATAGAGTTTTCCATTATAATTTTAAGCAGACTTTCTGAAGTAAAGAGATAACTTTGTCTTAGGAATGCTTAGACATGAAACTGACGCAGAGGAGGCTCTTCAGGTCGGCAAGTGGGTGCAAAGAAGTCCCAGCCCATCCTTTAATTGCCAGGCGGTTGTGTTTTTTAATTAGAAGAGTTACTGTCTGCTTACGAAGCCCCAGGGCACAAACGCTGCAGGTTCCAGCCCGTGCCCAGGAGCAGCCCTCAGAGCATCACGGTGACTCATTACCAATGGTATGGAGATCCCAAGGGACCCAACTCTCTGTGGAGCTGGAACTAGCCATTTGTTTCCCTTTGAAGTGCAGAGAGGATTTCATTCACATTCTGACTTACTGACTCTGAGACGTTACCAGATCCTCCACATTAACACAGCCAGGTTTTATTTCACTAATGGACTTTTTCTCCATTGTCATCTGTTGTTCTTTTCAGATCTGTACACAATATCCATTCACACAAAACTATGAAGCTCAGCAAGGAAGGTACAGCTACATAGTATAGACAACAGCATGCCTAAAAATGAAAGTAACGCTGATCAGCATGCAGAAATGATGTATAATACAGAGTAGTTAGGAGTTAGAAATAGGTCATGAGAGCTAAACCATTTTAGCACAGGACTCCAGACCCACATTTGTGCTGTTTCTTATACTGAAATCTTCTTGTATACTTGACTAAGACAGTGGATGTGTTTTGTTTTTGGTTTTTTTTGTCAACAAATACCGCCCTGTATGACTAGGCTGTGGAATGAGTTTGGTGCATGTATATTCATTCAGGCATATTGTTTCTGCTTGTAAGCAATGTAAGATAGCTGGTGGTACAGATTAAGGCAATAAGTTAAATACAATAAATTAAATTATTGAATGAAAATATTGTTAATTATGAAAACGTTGATTTGAAAATGAGTCGTCTGCTATTTTGGTCATAAGCTTTTAATGACATATGGAACCTGTAAATAAAAACCGAAACAAAAAGATGTGGCTAATGTAAATATTGCCAGTATGTGTATGAAATAAAGAAAGATACCAAAACCTTCAAGCTATACCACCACCGTCAGAGAGAGGTTATGAACCATGCCCCCCCCCCATTCTCATCTGAAGGGAGTTTGAGAGCAGCCAATCACAAAGCAGCCATGTTCCCTGCTGGCTCCCCATTCGCTGTGTGATCCTCAGGCCTCGTCAAAGGCCTTCCCAGGTGGAGCAGGACCACCAGAAGAGAGGCGACAGCCATGGTAACAGTGCTGAAAAGCTGAAAAGCAGGGCCAAGGCCTGACTCATTAGCCATATATGCAGTGCATGCAGTATGATTCATCCTAAAACTCAAGCATGGTAAAGATGGAGGGTTATTCTCCATATGCGGTTTCAATAAAGTGTTAAATGAGTACAGCAGAACACACTGGACACTAACCATCATGGTGGAGCCATGGAGCTTCCAGGCAGACAGCAGGTGAGCATGGATCAGGGCTAAGCTGCAGGGCAGGTAAGCCTCAGTATCTGAGTGGTCTCTGCACCTGTACAATGGCCACCCAAGCTGTTAAACAAGGGCAGTCAGGCAAATGCACAGCGAGGGACTGTGCCACACATTAAACTCAGCAAGGAAAGTACATCCACATAGTATAGACAAAAGTCTAATTCAGGTTTCCCAATCCGGTCCTCAAGGGAGGGAGCAAAAACATCGACCGACTGTGAGTCCCCAAGTACTGGATTGGGAAACACTGGTCTAATTCACTAGCACTTCAAATACATATATGCACTCCATAGTGTGTACTCAGAGGATGACATACCCTAAAAAACCACCGCAGTAAGAAATGTGGCCCAGTTACCCAATAAGCCCCAATATAAGGTGCCTTATATTACCATCTGCTGTACCTTCATGTAAATATTTTGGTAGTGCTTATGACTTCTTTACCTGCTTGGATCTTTTTCAATAAAATCATATTTGTTTTGATGGAAATTTCCTTGTACATGTGACATACTACTGTTTCAAATATACATTGTTGTTGTGATAAACAAAAGAGACAGTATGAACTGAGACTGAAGTGTTTAATAGTGAATGTGAAAAAGCATTAAGTGGTAAGCTAAGAGTAAGTGTGTTATCTCATTGTGCAACTGCAAAAGGACCGTCTACTAAAAGCTTCAGCATTCGGGCTGTTTCATCAACAACTTTTAGAATCCCTGGAACTTGTGATGTATATCCAAGACATATCAACACTCAAAGAGCTCTAATCATCGAGTGCACATTCTATCACAGCGGCTTAATCCACCCACCGGTGACCAGGCAGTGCATGCAGTCAGGGAGCAGGCTGTACTTGCCTCTGGTAAAATGTGCTGAGCACTGTGTGGTTGTCAGCTCCTTGGAGCTCCCAGAGGCCCAGCTCAGCCAACAGGGAGCCTGGCAGCAGCACCCCATCCTGGACAAGCAGGCCAAGACTGTACCAGCCCTGGGGGTGATCAGAAGTTTTAATATGAGGACGTAGATTTGGGCAGGGATAGTGGGCAATGAGTGGCTCAGCGTGCTAAGCCCCGGCCTCAGCAAACACAGTCACATGTCCATGGGCCCTTATGCAAGGCCCTTAACCCCCAGCTCCAGGGGGGTCGCATGCTGGCTGACCCAATGCTACGACCCCCAAGCTATGGAGAGAATGATGAGGGTAGGCAAAGAGAAGAATTCTGGTGCACTTGTGCAAACGGCAAATAAAGGATTTATTTATTTAGGGACGTATCCATACTAATCTTGTGGGAATACCGTGTGTTTAGGGGGGCGGGAGGTTCGGGGCTGATTTAGTCCCTTCCAATGGTGAAATCCAACCTATGCTCTTGTTTAAATAAACGATAAAATTGGTCAATAAACCAGGACCGCTGGATTCAAGCTGAGGGGACCTGGTATCTGTGGAGCTGCAGGAGCAGCCATACCTGTGGGTGGCTCTTGAGCGCCGCCCTTTTGTACAGGTGAGCAGCTGCGGTCACATCTCTTTGCCTTCGCGCGTGGCCATCGTACATCAGGTCGCCCATCTTTAACAGGGCTGAGGAAAGCAGGAGGCGACGTGAGAGCATGACAGGACAAACCCTCACAAAGGTGCATATGTATAGCCAGATTTAGCATGCTAATGTTGGAATATACCATAAGGTGCAGGTTCCTGAGCTTGAATGGAAAGGTTGTAGTATCGCCACATGCACTCTGTCACAAAGTCTTCATCCAAGAAGCTTCCCTGTACAATCAGGATATACCTATTTCTATAATATTACAACTGACACTCAATCATCTAAACACAAAACATAGTAATATACAGAAGTATACGGTTTATTACACGATGGACCCTATAAAAGAAACAAATTCATTATAAGATTTTAGGATGACAAAAGAATTATTCTTTAAACATTTTTACAAACTCACAGGATTGTGCTCGCAGAGATAAGCTATGTTGAACTGGGCTGTCGCAAACCCCGATTCGGCAGCCATCAGGAACCAGAGAAGTGCAGAGGGCCTGGGGGGGAAGCCAGTTATACCCTTAGTCTCTGGTCATTGCTTGCTCCATCCAAGAATGAGTGCTTTTTACAGGCTATGGATTTAGCAAACTGGACAGTTTTACTTTAAGACACAATAATAAGAGTAATAGCAGTTATGTAACTGTAGCACATTCCCTCACTGTTATCTTTAAGGGATTTCTGTAATCTCCAGAAGCACCAGTAAAAGATCTGCGGTGGTTTATTAGCTGCAGTGTTTCTATGGCAGTGTTTCTCCTCAGTCCTCAGGGACCTGCAGCACTCCATGTTTTTGCTGCCTCCCAGCTCCATGCTACCAGGAGTTGGGAGGCAGCAAAAACATGGAGTGCTGCAGGTCGTCTGGGGGTCCCAAAGATCTGGTTCAGAAACATTGTTCCATGCTGAGCATAGAAAGTTGAGTCAGTTCCAGTTACCAGTCCTGACGGAGGTAAGCATCCAGGGCCATCCTCAGCACTGTCCCCAGGTACCCATTCTGCTCAGCTACCCACTTTGTCCACCTGACATTGGATAAAGCACTTTGTCAGAGCTTTACAGGAAATACATTCACTCCTTATAAAATGATTAGCAATTTATAATGACACAAAAGACCAAAGGCACAGTTTAACAGACAGACAGGTAAAGATGACTCTGAGTCACTTCTTACAGGACTGCATTCACTGGGAGCCTGTCGACCTGACCGGGAATCCCTCTGATCCACACCTCAGCCAATTGGATCGCACCGTCAATGCTTCTCCTCTCGGCAGACTTTAAGTAGTAAGTGTATGCTGTGAACTGCAGTGGGGCAAGACAAAATGAATAGATCTGGATCGCAGTCCACAGTCAGAACAGACGAGAAAAACAATTACAGACTGAATGCTCCAGTGACTCAGGACTGCCCTTGTGTTATAAGAATTTTCTACAACTTTGATAATTAAAGCCAGAGGGATGCAGCTGACGATTGCTGACCTTGTCAGGCAGTTTCCCGGGATAATGACCATGGGAATACATGACCCCAAGGTTCATGGCAGCTTCAGGGCTCCCAAGGCCATCGGCCCGCTCCCACAGCTCCACCGCTCTAGCATAGTCCTTCTCGTAGTGCTCGTAGTACCAGCCGAGGGCGTTGATGGCTGCCACAAAGTCCTCCGAGAGATTTCACTTAAACTTAGCATCACATGACCCAGGCCAAATGTCACTGCTTAATCAGCTATAGTACTATAGTCAACATAAGGAAGCATGTAGCAGAGCAGCTTGTAATTGTCATTTACAAAACTCTGTTGATTATATTTGTTTTGGATGTTCAATATTAATTTACAATAAGGCTCACTTTTACCACTTACACATGGCAGCAATTCATTAAAAATAATTTTAAAACTGTGAAATCATTTGTTTATAATTGTCTATTGATTATTTACAAATCATTACAACGTAATTAATAACCTCATTATAGACTATTGATAAACCCTTGATAAGCCTTATTGTAAAGCGGTACCAAATATTCTAATTTTGGATATTCTAATGTTAGATGTAATTAGTCATATAAATTACATACTTTAAAATGAATATAAAATATGATCATTTTAATCTGCATTATCTTGTACTAGTACAATGACAATAAGGTTTTGAATCTATTGAATCTGATTTTTTTCACTAGCTTGTGAGATGCATGGCAATTTTAAAAAACAAAGCTCCAAAAATGTACTAGTTGTGAAGTTGAATATTTAAATATAATCACACTCTTGCAATTAGATTTGCCCTTGACAAGGTACCCAAGGGTTTAGATTGATGGAATGTATGAATTAAACATGTGACATGCAATATGATTAAAGAAAAACAAACTTTTGCATTTTTATATGGCCAAACAGTTCATAATCCATGTTCTCAGCTCAGCATGATAAGATGACAAGAAAGGGGTGGCCAAAGGTGACCATGCCTCCCCCCCCCCCCCATAAATACATGGTCACCGCAGCTGCCACCCCTCACCAAAAAAGAAAAACGAGATATGGAGCATTTAATTCTGTTAGCCAGCCCAACTTATAGGTGAGTCGACAGTGGCGTGTCTCTAACTGAATCACAAAAAGATCAATGGATAAGCCTCACGACTGGCAAATGTACCGAACTCCCCCACCGCACCCCAGTCCGGTTGGCTAAATATTAAATATTAGCGCATTGCCACCCCAGTCTGTCCACCCCTTTCAACAAGGTTTGGCTACGTCCCTGGACCAGAAGCATCACTATTACCCGTTCAGCTGCCTTCTTCAGAAAGCTCACTGCCCTGGGGATGTCCTGCTTCACTCCTTGCCCCTACAGACAAATATTCCATCCACAATTCATTAGTGACTTAGAAGTGGCTCTGTGTCTCCTTTTCTCTAAGCTGAGGAGCACAGGGGCCCTTGGCACCACACGTAGGGAACCTCACCTTCAGAAGCACGATGGCGTAGTCGTACATGGACACTGTGTCTTCCAGCTGTACCGCCCCCCGCTCGTAGTGCTTCACGGCGGCCTGAAGGTTGGGGGACACGCCCTGCTGACCCCAGAACAGCATCCGGCCCACTGCTTGCTGCAGTCAGGGAATTGATATCTTCCAGAAACAGCGTACTGCTAATGCTGACTCAGGCTGTGCTGCAGCCTGCCAAACTCATTGTGTCAATGGTTGTTTATTTCAGCAAGTGACCTTGTGAACAGTCAGTGAACATGTTTCAAAAGATGGCATAAATATTACTTGAGTAATTTTAACCATTATTTAAAATAAATTGTAGCGGGTGCTTATCAAGTGGAGACCCAGGTAAAATAAACCAGGCATTGGGTCAGCCTCATCCTTACACAATGTATTAAAAGTCAAAGTAACTAAAACATAATTCACATGATTAGATTTATTCTCTTGGGTTTATTCTACAGCAATGTTGCCAACTTTCTGGCCAAGCAAACGTATTGAAGTCTCTTCTCTATCTCTAGTATACATGATAAACAGAGTGAGCTGACATCAGTACCTCAGCCTCTGCTACTCCTTTGCGTGCCTGGTGTTTGAGCCACAGGAAGAGGTCATCGTTTTCACTCGTCTGGAGCTTCAGCATGTCCTCGTTGCTCAGGTGAATCGACTCCACAAATTTCTGCGGGGGAGAAGTGAGACCGTAAGCAATAAATAACATTTGGTAAGATCTTTGGTTTTCTGTTCTGTATCTCCTAAATGCAAATTGGATCACCACAACATAGGGCTGGACAATAATTCGATATCAATATATATCGCGATAGAATTTTTTTC